AGAGAGTTCTAGAGAGTTTTAGAGAGAGTTTTAGAGAGAGAGAGCGAGAGAGATGGGAATAGGAACGTCATGTGAATTCGAGCAGACTTGAGAGATGTCATTGGTGGTGGTACCGAGCTGAGGCGCTTCAGGGACCTTGAGCTTCCTGGATGCGCCATGGCACGGCAGTAGTGGCAAGCTCGGTAATCAGTAGATGTAGTGTTGAATTGATATCATGCATTCACCCCGGGGTCAAAATCAATGGATCCCAGACGGCTCGGATGGCCTCGATGACTGGAAGAGACACAGAGATGCGCGTGGCCATGGCGATCCTTCTGGCCAGATGCCTCAAAGTTCAAGGATCCCCAAACTGTTGCCAGTATACAGCCCTTTTAAAAGCGTAGGCTAGGCCGAGTGCGCAAAGTCGATGCCCTGCTGCAGTCGGGCTCTTGAGAAGCGAACAAGGCCCCCGATTTGCTGGGGCGCACAGGCGTAGAGGCCAGCGCGCACGGTGTCCTGCTCCTTTGTGTCCAAGTGTGCAATACGAATAAAGTCCCAGGCGCCAGCCTCATTCTGTACTTCGACGACGTAGTCCTGCACGGAGGTGCGACTCACGCGCAGAGCACATCCAGCCGTCGCGACTACCTACGCCACCAAACGGCCCAAATATTGAGCAAGGCGTGGCGCAAAAAACATTGACTCGCAGGCTTTGTGTGGAACGACCAGACTTTTTGTGCATGCACCTGAGTAGACCAATCAGAAAAGCCGTTGGTCACCACAGTGCTGAGGCGGAGCGCCCCGTCCGCATACTCGATGCCGGCCTTGAGCCAGCATTGGTCATGGCAATACACCAGCAGGCCTGCTTGATCAAACTATTCAAAAAAGCAAAAGTCGTCGTTCCGTTCAAAGACATTTCAGTCCATGGCTCGCGATGCGCCCCATACCAAGACGGAGCACATCCACCAACCTGGTTCTGGGGCTCAATCACAAACTCTGTCTCAACGCGATGGTCAGGAGGAAAAGGGCGCAGTAATGCGGGAGCATTGCTCTTGCAGATTGGCGGGCTGTAAAAGGTCCTCTGCCAAAAATCGCCCACCTGCAGCCGACAGGTTGCACCAGCCTCCTATCCGCAGCAACGCGCCCAGCCCAGGCGTCAAACGCTCATGCGCATACCACCGAAGAGGCCAAACGCATCGACACGCCACGGCGAAGCACACACCAACCTTGAGCGTCCAGTGCTGGCCGTCAGTGTTGAGCCAGCGCGCCTCGTCCGTCAGCTGTCACCATGCCAAAGCAGGAATCGGGTCGAAATGCCCAAACCAGGTCAGTACGCTCTGAAGATTGGCTGAGAAAATCGAGTCGAGCATGTTGATGGACGCACCTCACCCGTCTGGGTCCAAAACCCATCTTCAACTACCTCTGCCATGATCTGATCCCCAACAACTCACCCCCCTGCCCACGCGACCACCTAGCCCTGTTGCACACGCACGTCTCACGATCGCGCCAACAAGTGTGTGTGTGTGTGTGCGCGCGTGTGTGTGAAACTGCGTGACACCTTTTTCTCGAAGCGTGAGCAGCGTTAGTGTAGTTGGAACGTGAGCAAGCACCTTGGGGCTGTGACCTAGATGCTCGTGTGTGAGGGGTAGGGATCGAGCGGGAGGGTTATGGCGCTTTGGCGTTGATCCGAAACAGCAGAGGTGTGCTTCCAGGCTCCTCGGCTTCCACACACACACACACACACACACA